GACCTGCCGTGTTCAACTCGCGGTGACGGGGAAGAGCGCTGTCGTCGCTGTCGTTAGCTTCTTTAGTATAGTCATCAGGACGGCGATGCCGCCTGTCAGCTAGGTGCCCTTCAGGGCGTGGTCGTCCGGTAGCTCTTCGCGCGCTCCTTCTACTTCGTGAACTTCTGCGTCAGACAAGCGACATGATCGGCAATTGATGTGGTCATCCATCCGCCTATGCCATCGCCGTGATCGCGATGCCAAGGCGTCTTGCCATGGTTGGGGCTGCGTGATGGGCGGTCAATCGGGCATTTTCCACGATGCTGACTGTGAGCTGGGCATGGGCACATGCAGTATCCTTGCGTTCATTAGTCACCTCAGGCTTGAATGTCCGCCTTCCATCACTGTCTCTGCCGCGACGTTCTGATGTTTTGATGATGCGACCTCTTTCGTCGCGAATAACGCAATGTTTTAGAAACCGCCAGCGACGAATCTCGGCTGCTGAATAGCCCTGTTCAAGGACATAATTCGTGCCAGAGTCGTCGATCTCCATGCGGGGGCCCTGGTTGTCGCGCGAGGAGGTGGTGCGCCCCTTGCCAGAGGAGGCACGCTTTTTCCTCATCCTCTGTCGCTGGAGCTCGAGCCGTGCACGGGCTCGGCGGACTCGGCGTATCCCTGGCCCTTAGAGTGGCCAGCGCCTCGAGAATGACTGCGGCCGCGGCCAGGGCCGCCCGCGTCCAGGCTGTGCTTCCCAGCTTTCCCTCATCCGCCTGCTGTGCGGCGGGCCGCTGAGCCGTGGCCCCTGCGACCGCTTCCTTTGTCGCCTTTGCGTGGGCCGCCAGAGCCGAATGGGGCCTTCCCTGACTTACCCCGCATCATGAATGTGTCGGTGTGGGTCTGGCCCCAACCCGCCCCTCTCCTCCTCCGCGAGTCCGAATGCTGTCGGAGCCGGGAGCAGATGTGGGCGATTCTGTTCGTGTCCGAGATGTTGAATTATTTCGGCGTCAGTGGCAAGAATGATCTCCGCGTTGGATATGCACTCGTCTTGATCGTCGTACTCAGAATATTCATGCGCGTGTCCGTGCCAACGCGTGCCGACCCAATCCTCGATTGGGGCGTCGAAGAGCTCCTCGGCCCCGTCGTGGAGGTGCTCCGTGCACCGCTCTACCGACGCGGCGGCGCTGGCGAAGTGAGCCATCGCAACCGAGACGAACTGGCTTGAGACAAGGGGTGGTCTAGCGCGGGGCAATCAACGTACTCGATGATATCCCCATCGGATTGGCCCGGGCCCGCCCCCTTTCCCACCTCCCCTAAGGCATTGCACGTGGAAGTGCCTGTCGCTCCCGCAGGTGTTGTATGTCATCATTTTTCCGCCCTTGCCCACTGAATTAAGCCTGCTTCCCTTGCTTTTACCCGTTGTGTGCCTAAACCTTTGCCTCTGCCAATGCCCCCCGAGAACAAGTCTTCAACGTCGCAGTCGGTCAATCGAGCCAGGAACGTGGCTATGCCTTTGCTATGCAATCTGCGGGCGCGTCTACCACCCATACCGCGACCCTTTCCTTTGCGGAAGAAGAGACGACGCACGGCTCGCCTGAACCTCCTTGCTGGTTTCTTCATGTGTCGCCTCCACCTTCCTCTGTCGCGATGATGCCCTAGGTGTAGGGTGTAGGTGTTGTGTAGCTGCATCATCGCTGGCGGGTAGGTCTGACCAATCGAGGTTTTCGGCGCCGGTAGAGGAGGCCGCGTTGGTATCCGTTCCGGAATCGAAGACATCGTCGTCTTGGTGGCTGGGTGATCACCAGAGGGTAGTCGCTTCAGCTGGTGTGTAGCTGGCTGCTGACGGCTTGCCCGCGTTTGAGCCAGACGCCTGTTCGTCGCTGTTGTTGGCGTCTCGGCCTTGAAGCGTAGTGGACTCAATGGGCTCTCCGTCCTTCCATATGCTGTTCGGCATGGCTGCCGGCGTGCCGCTTATTTCGGCATGGTAAGTGCCGGCGTTGGGTCTGCTGAAGATGCAGGCGATGTTCCCTGGGGGGCGCTCAGCTAAGTGTCGAATGCTGCGCGTTCGCTCCAGGAGTTGGTCGCGCTGTTGTTGAGCGCAGGGCATCTGGTGGTTCAGGGGTTGCAGCAGCTGTGCTGCTCGGGAGGTGCCAACCCCCGGGGCGGGAAATAAGACCAGAGTAAGGATCTGGAAGTTGAGAATGTTGGGGCCTGCTGGGTCCGCTTCCAGCCTGGACATCTCAAATGAAACCAACACTCAGTCAGTGCGTTCGCCTCTCTCGACTCTGAAGTCGATGAGGGTGATCCCCGAGGTGAGCTGTCGCTCGTCCCCAAGGCTCTCAAATTTGGTGCCTAATACGTACATGATGTATGTGACCTCGTCGGTGCGACTCCCCTGTAGTGTAGCGCTATAGTTGATGATGGAAGGCGCCCTCGTGGCTAGTGTCCTAGCCACTCCTCCTAGACCGCGCTGTAAGGCTGCGGCCTGTTGAGGTGGAGTCATGCTTCCCGTTGTGACATTAAGCCATGCGTGTACTTCACGAACACAGTCGCGAAAAGGGTACGTTGCCCGAGGGGTCCCAAAAGGGACCCCGAGATCGCGTTTCATCCAGTCATCCTCCTCGCACGTATGCCACGGCAAAGCCTTGGCACACCCAAATAATTCCAAATATGGCGACCTTAACAGAGTGCGTAGTCATGATGTAGCTGACGATGTTAGGTTGCTTATCATTGGATATCGTCGCGTCCGTTGGGTTGCGACCGGGTGTCTGGTCACGTGGCCGTCAACTTGCGGATCGGTGCCGGTGTTTGGGTTGCGCGTGGCGTGCGGCCACGCGGTGGGGAGATGGAGGTGTAGGACTGTCGGTTACAAATTGGTACGAGAGTATTGGGAGTTTGGTTGCTGAGAACCCGCGCAGCCGGGTAATCCACTGTGCCGTGGTAAGTGGTAATGTACATTACACCTAATGTAGGAGCCAACCACATGAAGATGTAGCCGGCTCCGCTAACAAGGGAAAAGCAAGGGTACAGGGCTTGACCGTGAGGTAATACGCTGAGAACCCTACTCTTAAGATAACATCGGCGACGTATTGCGGTATCCCACAACTCATCCCTTGATGGCGCGCGATAGGATAGATAGTAGAGGAACCGTGGGAATGGAATATGGATCGTAGAAAAACGTGGCCTTTGTCCGTTTCTAAGATCCCAATAGAGGTGCACAGAATCGCGTGCACCTGGCATGTCGGACAACGCTGCCTTGAACCAAGACAGCGTAGGATATAGCGGTCGCTTTACAGCCTCTCCTTAAACCTCGTTTGAAGTGTCAGCTGGGGTTTCCGTCATTTTCGAAGGGGCCCCAAGAAAGGCCCAAGAGGGTGAACACAAACCGACAATCCGAGCCTTCCGCTCCAAGAGGGCTCAGGAGGTCCCAAGAGCGCCAAACGAGGCCCCCACGAGGCCCCCAAGAGGGCCCCGAGAGGTAAAACAATTTAGTTCCCGTAGCGTTTTCAATGTGCTTTGGGTTCTCGCCTTTTTGAGCCTCCGACGCTCCAAGACGGCCCAAAAGGCCCCTAAGACTCCCCCGAGACGGCTCAAGAGGTCCCCAAGACAGCTCCAAGACTGCCTAAGAAAACTCCGAAATGGCCCAAGGTGCGCCCAAGACTGCCCCAGAGGGCCCCACGACTGGCCCAAGAAGGGCATAAGAATAGGAACGCGAACCAAAAATTCGAGCCTTCTGCCCCAAGCGGCCTCCAGCAGGCCGGCTTGCCTTCTCGAATAATTGCCAACCGGCATGCTGCGCTGGCCCGGTTGCGGAATTGCCGGAGGCAACCTGACATAAGGAAAACAATGCGGCATGTTCGTGTCCAGACTGTCGGGCTCGTCTGGGGTTATTTTCAACATCCGAATTTCGACGCCGTCTTTAGGCGCACTCCAAAGTCAATTTCGTACGATTCTGGACCCACTTGGGGCTCCAAAGCGGAACCAACAACTACCCAGATCCTGGCCATGTTTGAATGCAATTCGGACGGGGTTGTGACCTCACGCGGAGATGTTGTCGCATGGGCCGTCCAGGGGCTCCCCCGGGCCGCCTCGGGCCCTTCTTGGCTTCTGTTTGGGCCCTTATCAAAGCCCTTTTCGGTTATTGTGGGCGCCTATTGGACCGTTTTCAAGCCGTCTTTGGCTGGTCTCGGGCAGTGTTCTGGCTATCTGCGGCCTCCGGCTGCAGATAAGGAGCAAGGCCAAGAGAGCCAACGTTCATACCACTGATCAATTGTTAAAGATGACGTGCCAACGACCTGTCGACAACTTAAATATCGATCAGCCACACGGCATACCTGAGCCCAATCGACGATGGGATGGAGGATACATCGACCGCAGGAAAGTACAACACACACATGCGCGCACACGCATGTGGGGGAGTCTTTCACCACTTTCCGGATATCATCATCGCGTCTTGGCGCCGTCTGCGTCTTTCCCGGCGGGAACTGGGATGGGCGGGCGGTGAACATGCATCGTCTTGCATATACATGTATTCACATATTTAACTAAATACGAAGAACGAAATCGGATGGGTGGGAGCCTGGGTATGGCCGCGCCGTCATCGCCGACTCTACTTCACTCGACTGTACGCGTTGAGGGGGTGGAAGGGACATATTCTAGGATCCTAGGAATCTGGGTTGTCCTCGCGCGCGCCACTGCCACGGACGACGACGGCGGGGACGACAAACGGCGGAGGGAGGAGGACGAACACGAGGACTGGAAGAACATACTACATCAACAAAAGCTTTCGGAGGTCCGCGCGGAGCTCTAATACTTGGTGTTTCTGTAATTTTCCTCTTTGGGGGATGACGGGTGTGTTCCTGCATCCTGGACGGTTCCAGCCGCCACGTGATCGTTGTCGGCACAAGCATCAAAACCGCAAGACCAGATTCCCACCGGTTCGAAACCCGAAGCACGATACACCATATCAGACGGCAAATGGAGAAGGGAGGAGAAGGAGGAGCAAGAAAATGGAGGGGGCACTCCTGCATCCTGGACGGCTTCAACCGCTTGCACTTCTTGCAACTGATCTCCTGGGATTGCCATGCCTGCCGGGGACCCGGCGGGCTCGCCGGCAGCGTCGGCGGCCGAGGCTCGCGGATGCGGTCATTGGAGACAAAGGGGGGAGGGGAGAGGTGGGAAAGGGGGGAGGAGGAAGGGAGGAACGGAAGAGGGAGGGAGGAGGGAGGGAGGGAAGGAACCACGCAGCACTATTGGTGGGACGACCCCGCCGACGACGCCCACCGCAGTCGTTCCAGCAGCGGTGTGGACCAGGGGTGTCTGCTCTCGCCGGAGCTCTTCGCAGTCGGCATTGCGGACGCACCGGGCGATGTTTACGCGCGCCTCCAGGCTTTCTCGACCTCCTGCAGGCTGTTCAGCTACTTCGACGACATCATGGTTTTCGTCCGTCCTGCCAGGGCACGCGGGCGCAGCCATGCAGGTCGTCATTGACACCCTGACGCGGCACGGCCTTGCAGTCAACCAGGCGAAGACGCAAGCGTGGTCCACTGGAGGGCGCGGCCACTTGCCGGCCACCGTCCAGGGGCGCTGGGTGGACAAGCTCACCTGCTTGGGGAACACTGCCCAAGGGCTCGAGCAGGAGAAGAGAGGGGAGGGAGAGGAAGACGAGAGGGTGACTGTCGACGCTGGGTTAGACAAGGCCACGGCCGTGGCCAAGGCAGCGGTCTTTGCTGCCCGCCTGCAAGAGCTGCGACAGGCAGGCCTCCGAGCTGAGAGCGCCGTCGCTCTCCTCCTGACTTTCGCTGGCGGATGCGTCGTGCACCACCTCCGCGCCAACCTGCAGGGGGACTGGACGGAACGCTTGACCGAGTTCTCTTCGGCTGCCTCGAACACCTCGCTGGCGGGCCCTTGGACGCCCAGCAGCGCCTCCAAGCCACTCTGCGCCTTGCTGACGGCGGATGCGCGTTCGCCTCGGCCACCTTTACGGCGCCCGCTGCCTACGCCGCCAGTTGGGCTCTCTTGCTCCACGACGTCATGGCCTGCCTCGGGGCCAGCTCGCTGGAGGAAATCTGGGCCCGCCGCCCGCGGACGCAGCGGACGCTCGACCAGGCCGGGGCGGCGTTCCTCAAACGCCCTTCGACTGGATACGCTGCGCCGAAAAAACTACAACCGAAACTGCAGGGGCACTGGTGCAAAGCTGCCTCCGCGGCCACCAAAGAGAAGGTGCTACGGGCGCGCGACGAGGACCACTGCCAGCGCTTGCGTGAAAATGGGGGCACAGGAACCGGCAGCTGGCTCTTCCCGCGCCGGCCAGGCGACCTTCGCCAACCAAATTCGCACTTCTGTGGCAACCTCAAGCGCTGGCTCTGCGTCTCGGTCTGCCCGCCAAGATCCCGCTGCCAGCACTGCCGCCTGGACGGAAGCCTCTGCAACGAACCCCTTGACCCGCACGGCTGGCACGCGGTCAAGTGTGAGGTGGGCGCGTCGCGCAACAACCACCACAGCAGTTGCCGTGACTAGCACTCGGCGAAGCACAAGGAGCTCACAAGCATCGCGGCGCCCACGGAGCAGGCCGTCCCAGCCTGGGATCGCTGCCGCCACCGCACGGGCGAGCTCCGATTGGCGGTGTTCGACCTCTCCACCAACGACCCGGGCAGCGGCCGCCAGATCTTCATCGACTGGAGCATCACCTGCGTACACTCAACCTGCGCTCCACGCAGGGTGCTCGGGCCGAGAAAGACGGGCTGGCGGCCGCCCAGGCGGTGGAACAGAAGCGAGAGCGCTACCCTCCGCACGGAGGAGAAATGGTTCCCCTAGTCTTCGAGACAGGGGGCTGGCCCACTGATGAAACAACCAGCTGTGTCCGCAGCTACGGAGCCAGCTTAGACGACGGCGACCGCTCCGAGCTGCTGGGCGGCCTATGGCGGCAGATCAACAGGACCCTCCAAAGAAGGAATGCTGAGATGCTGCTGAGCGCGCTCGGGCGCCAGGCCACCAAGAAGACGACCACAGCCACCTGCAGGGCACGCGTCGCGACCGCCGCCAGCACCGCGACCGCGACAACCGCCAGCACGACTCTCATCACGACCACCGCCACCACCATGGCCACCACCAGCGGCAGCGCGACGATCACCACGACCACCGGCTGAGTTCGCGGTCGCAGCGCCGACGGCCACGGCCACGACCAACACCACGACCACCCCGACCGCCTCTGCCCCCCGCCGTCCCTCTGCGACGACCGCCAGCACGACAACCACCACGACCAGCGCCAAGACGACCACCACCAGCTGCAGCGCGACGCTCACCATAACCAACACCAGGACTGGGTCCGCGATCGGATCGACCATTCTGGCCGCCCCAGGGGTTCTGTTCGCGGGTGCTGGGGGCCCCTGGGGCCGTGGCGGGAGGGAAGGAGGGAGGAGGAGAAGAGGCGAGCGGGGGGTGGACGGTGGGAGGGGGGAAGGATTGAGGGATAATGGATGGAGGAGGAGGAAGGAGGGAGGGGGAAGGGCGGAGGAGAGGGGAGGGATCAAACTAGGTATGCTCGCGTCATATCTGACGTCCTACCCATCCCTCCCATCCCTTACCATGGCGTAGATCTCCTGTCTATTCGCACAATCGGATGTCGTAGCATGGTAGATCACTTCATGGTAAAGCATGATGTTGAATATCAGCGCGCAACATGACATAGCATTGTGTGGCGGCGGCGAGGGGGCTTCTGCGGCCCAAACAATCAACGAATCGACACCGAATGTGTGCCGCGGCATGGCACTGGAAATAATGACGCCAGCGCTACAACGGGAACACGATTCGGAACGAGCGGCAACTCGGAAATGAGGCCAAAACTGCAGCGGGCACATGATTTGGAACGCGCGGAAGCCCGAAAATGAGGCCAGCGCCTCAGCGGGAACAACATGTTGAAAACACATCCAAACGAAAACCCACTTCCCGTGAATCATGTATAAAAACGTTACGCGGAGGGGGGCCTGATATCTTCTGGACGTCATCAGGGGAGAGAGGACAGTGGTATTCATATCTTGTAACTCTGGAGGCAGACGGAGGGGCAGGGGGAGGGGAAACTCTGTGAAGTTGCACAAGAGCTTTCCGGAGCCCTGGGATCCTGCATTTTCGAATTGGCCCTCCGACGTTATGCTGGTCCCCAATGAATAATTTTGAGTTCATCGGAACAGTTTCCTGAACTCGCGGGCCCAGCCTGCCAGAGGCGCGCTAAGATCTCTGGCAACAAATGAACAGTATTTCTAGTTCGCGCGCGCGTCCCTGGACGACAAACACCCCAGCAGGTCCTCAGGCGGTCCCCAGGCGGTGCGGAGCAGAGATGGTCTTCCAGTCTAAAATGACTCTGGCAAGTCAAATTGCATCCGATTCCATGGGGAGTGGATGGATAGGATGGGATAAGATCGATGTAGTGATCTTTCCAGCACATAGCGAACACAAAGGTAAGTGTTCGGGCAAATAGGGCGCGCGTGCCTTGAGCCAAAGGCAACGGCGCGCAGGCTATACTCCCGATCCTCTATAACATCTCCCAAAGAGCTACCCTTAAAGTCGGGAGGGGAGGAGACGGAGAGTAAAGCCGCGCAGCCGTTAGGCTCGAGAAAGGCCGCGCGCGCAACTGTTTGCAAGAAAAACAGTGCGCACAGTCTGGCCTACCACCAGACTGAAGGGCGAGATTATTCGCCGGCGAGTTTCCTCGCAAAACTTTTCCACGCACGCGCAGGATCGCCCCTTGGATGCGCAGGGGCTATCGGCCCGGCTAGAGGTAAGCCAAACAGGCCATTCCCCTCCAGGCAAAAGGGTATTAAAACAAGGAGCCTGAACCAAACCGAAGAGGCTCGTTTCCAAGCGTGAAAAGTATGGCTCGCTTCCGAGCAGCTAAGATGACGCCTCTGTATTAGGCGCCCGTGCTGGCAAACTGGACCGCGGGGGCAACAAGGACAGACTAAAACTGATTCGACTTAGGCTTGTTCCTGTCCTCGGGGCCGTGAAAGGGAACAAACTGCTTCACGTCGTACTTAAATGACTGAGTGCCTGACATCTCTTCCAAAAGCAGCTGGCGATCGATACTCCCCTTTGTATGCCCATCTGCGGTCATGTCTCTAGTATCACACCACTGTACGTTTTGCACTATACCTATATCCATGAGCTCACGTATCCAGCTGATATGTCCCAGCAAAGTCCGTTCCGTCGGTATCTTAAGATCTTTGCTGGACAGCGATTTGTATACAGACTCAGCGTCTATAGTAAGGGATACTTTGATAGCTACGCCTCCAACTTCACGCATATCTCGTAGTTGTCGTGGAGTCAGTGCCCCTGCCTTGAGCTCGTGAAGAGTGATGAGCGTGGGATAGCATTCATCAAGATTGTGTGCAGCTGCAAGTGCCTCAGCGGCATAGCTGGACCTCACCTGCAGTCGGTGTGATTTGCATAGTCCGTCACAAAGGTGAACGACGGATTTGCCTTGAGGCGAGTTTCCTCGCCGTGATACGTTAGCCCCACGAATGCCGTGGCCCTTGGTTTCATCGCCCTCCTCTCCTGTGAGCTTCCGATGCCCCGAATCACTGTGTATGTCTACTTCACTCGTCGGTTTCATCCGAGGGAAGGTGATGCGTTTCGGGCTGCTGGTCAGCTTTCGCGTCACAGCATTCAGTCGTCTGACTTGTAAATTGGTGGGCTCTTGGATCTTCTGGAGAGAGACCACGTGCACCATAAGCCAGACTTGAGTAAGAAGGGCATAGGCGAGAGCTCCTCGCAAGCTAACGAACATGTCGGTGATGAATGTGGTAGCTTTGGCGTCTGCCGCCGCTCCCGTAAGTTCAGGGTGTGTGATAGGACGTAGTTGTTTAATGTACTCGTCCTGGTCCATGATCACATCCCCTTGTTCATTCTTCGTGTAGCGAACGGCGCAGTTCGTGTAATAATGTTCGTTGAGCTTGCATTTACCAAACACCTTTTCGACACGTTGTACATAGTCATCTACGTTTTTCTCTAGGCCTGTCATATTGATGTCGTCGACATGTTTTGCCGTTAGCAGATCCTGACTGAATTCAAACTCAGGATCGTAACTTGTCGG